ATGACAAGAAGTGAGATAGGCAAAGAGTTCCATAAAGTTGGTAGAGTTGGGAGAACAGTAAAGGAAACAAAGAAAAATAGTCATAGTTGATATATTTTGAAGCAGATGACATCATAAAGAGAAGATTCAAGAACCGTGAGTCGAGCTGTAGGTGGACGTGTGTTGCAGTAGGCGCACACACCTTCCTTAGAACGGAAAAGAAGTATAAAGGTTGTAGTTGGAGAATTGAAAAGGTTTGGGTGTAGCAGCCTTGGAAAGATGAGGTGCGGATTGTAGTAAGAGATCGGGGGGTTAATAGATGGTACTCCACAGATGAAAAATTGGATCTAAAGCCCCGTCCACACTATCGGACAGTGACTGGCGGGTCTGCCGGGCGTGACTGTGATGTTGTGCACACTGCTTACACTGCTGAGTAGGTGGTCTGGCAGTAAAGTCGGGCAGTAGGTGGTCGGCAGCCCCTGACTCCCTGAGTCACCACGCGCAACACAGTTGGAAAGAAGACAATAGCGCTGTTCTGCATATTAATTGCTGTATTTATAAAAACAAAGTAAGGACAGAGTGCAGAAAACGATCTGGTGTAAAGAGTGGTTAAGTAGGAGAGAAGTATTGGGAAGTCATATGCCGATATTACGTGAACTACAAGATGGATATGAGCGTGATTTCACCAACTAAATGAGAATGGATATCAACGCCTTTTACACACTCCTAGCTAAAGTGGAACCATACATAGCAAAGGAAGATACCCATCTGAGGCAGAGTATACCAGCAGCAGCCAGTCTCGAAGCAAAGCTCAGATTTCTAGCAACTGGGTGCACATACTCGTCACTGTAGTAATGTAGTATACCACGAGGATATCGAAGCAGCATTTGTCACTCATAATACCAGAAATATGTGAAGCTATATATATATATATATATATATATATATATATATATATATATATATATATATATATATATATATATATATATATATATATATATATATATGCAGTACTCAATGAAAATTATTACTTGCAGGTAGGAGTGTTTATATAGTATTATTGATTGACACCACTGTTGTGTAAAGAAATAAACTGTTTATTGTATAAAGTAATTACATACACTCCAAAACGTATGTACAAGACTCTCGCCATAAAATAACTTAAATATCAATAGTGATCATTATGTATTGTACCAGTCGTCGTCGGCCCATGCCTGGCGCCAAACCACCGGGCAGTCTGCCAATTTCGCTCAACTACGGGCATGGTCTGTCCGCTGGTTTGCCCGTCAAAGTTGCCACAAAGTGTGCGATGACGTCAGTTGAGGCCCCAGTAGTTTGATGAGAGTCAGATCGGCCCTGGGGTCGGTTATTTTGCAAAATGACTTTATGATTGAATAAGTTTAGGTTATGATGGCTAGTGTAGCTTTATACATAGTTAAGTGGTCCTGTTCTAATTTTTTTTAAACTTTGGACAACTGTATGTGCTGTCCTAACAATAAGGTTAGGTTAGTTTTGGTTGCCTGCAAAATTACCAATATGCATGCCAGTCATTTTGCAAAATAAACGAATCATGCAAAAAAAAACGTAACACACACACACACACACCTCAGCCTTCATAGGGTAAGGACGTTGTAGTCGGCGCTGCCAGCTAACGCGGCGGTGGTCTCTTGATCATGGAGACAGCTGCCAGCCCGGTCTGTCGGGCCCTCCCCTCCCCCATCTCCTCCTTCCCATCTGGATTTATCAACATATCAACATCCTCACACCAACAGTACAGTGCAAAGATTGGCGATCAACTCACAAGTGATATACAAAAGTGACAATTTCAACTCGAAGGAAAAGCACAAAAATACAGCAATACTGATTGTGGCTGGATCTGACCTAACATGACCTGACCTCACAGCTTCACCTGACCTAACCTGAACGATGGAGCACACCTGCATTGCCCCAAGCTACTGTCCTGGCCACGTGGCCACACACCTGCCCAACCGCATCCAGCCCATATGAGCACGAACTGATTGCTACAAGAACAGCCCAGTCCCAACCATTGTAAAAATTATCAACACCTAATTATTATATATCATATTGGGAAACGAAAAACAATGACAATATGGTCAGAGTCCCAAACTTTCGGTTGGCGGATTATCAGGGGTTAAGAAGGTACCTAGGTGAGGTCACCTGGGAATAGTCACGTCAGTTCCCAGTAGGAAGGGGTGAGGTCATAGATGACACAACAATTGATCATGACTATAATATATTCACTAGTATACTACATAAAGCACAAGAACAAAATATACCATACAGAAAAATTAGGTCAAATAAGAATGAGCCAAGGTGGATGACCAGAAAACTTAAACATGACATAGGAATAAAGAAAGGAATATATAAGAAATTAAAGGGAGGGGAGGAGCAGCTCAGAAACAGGTATAATGAACTAATTATTATATATCATATTGGGAAACGAAAAACAATGACAATATGGTCAGAGTCCCAAACTTTCGGTTGGCGGATTATCAGGGGTTAAGAAGGTACCTAGGTGAGGTCACCTGGGAATAGTCACGTCAGTTCCCAGTAGGAAGGGGTGAGGTCATAGATGACACAACAATTGATCATGACTATAATATATTCACTAGTATACTACATAAAGCACAAGAACAAAATATACCATACAGAAAAATTAGGTCAAATAAGAATGAGCCAAGGTGGATGACCAGAAAACTTAAACATGACATAGGAATAAAGAAAGGAATATATAAGAAATTAAAGGGATGGGAGGAGCAGCTCAGAAACAGGTATAATGAACTATCTAGGAATGTTAAGAAAAATGTAAGGAAAGCAAAGAGAGACTATGAAATCAAAATAGCAAGAGAATCCAAGGCGAATCCCAAGGGATTTTTCCAGGTATATAGGACAAAGGTCAAGGACATAGTTGGGCCTTTAAAGTCAGGGAGGAGAGAATTGATAAATGGCAGTGAAGAAATAAGCAAAGCATTGAACAGCTACTTCTTATCAGTTTTCACAGAAGAAATTTGTGATGAAATTCCAGAGGTGGAACTGATATTTAAGGGAAAGGAAGAAGAGAAATTAAAGAATATCACTATCAGAAAAGAGGATGTTCTTAAGAAGATAAATAAACTAAAGAAAACAAAATCCCCAGGGCCAGATGAAATTTTCCCTCGAGTCTTGAAAGAGTGTAGGGAACAGATTAGCGGACCCCTCGTAAACTTATTTACAAAATCATTAGACACTGGAGTTGTGCCAGACTTGTGGAAACAGGCAAATGTAGTACCCATATTCAAAAAGGGAGACAGAGCATCAGCGTCAAATTACCGGCCGATCAGTTTGACGTCAGTAGTGGGGAAATTTCTTGAATCAATTATAGCAGATAGCATCCGATCGCATCTAGAGAAAAGCAAATTAATCTACGACTCTCAACATGGGTTTACAAAGGGAAAATCTTGTCTAACAAATCTGCTAACGTTTTTTAGGAAAGTCTTCGAGGTAGTAGATAATGACGAAAATTACGATGTTATTTACTTAGACTTTAGCAAAGCATTTGACAGAGTACCGCATCAGAGGCTTCTGAGAAAAATTAAGGCTCATGGTATCGAGGGGAAAGTTTTAAATTGGATAAAATCATGGCTCACCGATAGAACGCAGAGGGTCAGCATAGATGGTGTTAAATCTGAGTGGGGCCGTGTAACCAGTGGGGTTCCCCAGGGGTCAGTACTAGGCCCACTCTTGTTCATAATCTACATAAACGATTTAGATACTGGGATCAGCAGTGACATAAGCAAGTTTGCGGATGACACCAAAATAGGGCGGCAAATTAATTCAGGGCAGGATGCAAATGCATTACAGGAGGATCTAAATAAACTGCAGGGGTGGTCTGAAAAATGGCAAATGAAATTCAACACCAGCAAGTGCAGCGTACTTAATATTGGAAGAACAAATACTTATAATGTATACAGCCTTAACAACATCAACCTAGAGAAGTCGACTTGTGAAAGAGACCTAGGGGTACTTGTAAGCCCGGACCTACGGCCTAGAAAACGGTGCGTTAATGTTCGAAATAAGGCAAACAGAGTATTGGGTTTTATATCTAGAAGTGTAAGTAACAAGAGTGCAGAGGTCTTATTGCAACTATATCTTGCGCTAGTCAGGCCGCACCTCGATTATGCGGTCCAGTTCTGGTGCCCCTATTATAGAATGGATATAAATTCACTAGAGTCGGTGCAGCGAAGAATGACAAAAATGATTCCGGGACTTAGAAACCTTCCATATCAGGATAGGTTAAAGAAACTTAACTTGCATTCCCTAGAAAGACGAAGAGTGCGGAGAGATATGATAGAAGTATTTAAGTGGGTGAAAGGAATCAATAAAGGGGATATAGATAAAGTTCTTATAATATCCGAGCAGGATAGGACTCGGAGCAACGGATTCAAGTTGGATAAGTTTAGGTTTAGGAGGGAGATAGGAAGAAATTGGTTCACAAATAGGGTGGTGGACGAGTGGAACAAGCTTAGCAACTTTGTAGTAAGTGTGGGAACTCTGGAAAGTTTCAAAAGGAGGCTAGATAGATTCATGGATGATAGAGAGTGGTAGTAACTCTCGACAGGTGCTGCCATGCACAGGCCAACCGGCCTATTGCAGACTCCTTATTTTCTTATGTTCTTCTTATATTTGTATTACTTATGTTACTTGTACATCATTTGTAAATCAAGAGAACCATTCCCCGATTATGTAATTGTATATTTTCAGCCTTCCGGCTGCCATGCTCTTTCAATAAACCGTTAATTATTATTATTACTATTATTACACACACATAAATATATAATCCTGGTGGTCCAGCGGTTAGCTTTCCCCTGTCACAGTCATGGGCTCGTGGGCCGTGGGTTCGAATCCTGGCGGGTTGAGGTGTTGATTGTATGTAGAAGTCCGCGTGCTTTATTGGGCTAATGAAATATATATATATATATATATATATATATATATATATATATATATATATATATATATATATATATATATTTAATGTGTGTTGTCAAAGCAAGAGACACAATTGAAACCCTGCAATTTTGTAAATGAGGCATAAAGTCAGTTCAGCAACCTGAGCCTTGGTCACAATTTTGGTGATGCCATATGGCAGCAGGGTCTACCATTAGACAACACATTATGCTTTCAATATCTTCCCCGGCGGTAGTACCTCCCTGTTTGATAGCTGCCTGATAATTATATATAATGTTTATGTGTCTGATGTTTGTGTTTGTCTGATGTTCATATGTATAATGTTTACATGTCTAGTATACGTGTGATGTTTATATGCATAACGTTTATGTCTAAAGCTTACAAGTATAATAATGTCTTATATCAACACTGTAATTCTGAAATGCATTGTTTAGTCATTTGATACGTAGCACCAGGTCACAGCTTTGATCACTCGCACTTGCATCAAACACTTTCTGTTGATCACTGTAACACATTAAACATTTTCTATTGAGCATTGTGACGCTTACATTAAACACTTTCTGTTGATCACTGTCACACTTGCATTAAACACTTTCTGTTGATCACTGAAATACTTGCATCAAACACTTTCTGTTGATCACTGTCACACTTGCATTAAACACTTTCTGTTGATCACTGTCAAACTTTCATTAAACACTCTGTTGATCACTGTCACACTTGCATTAAACACTTTCTGCTGATCACTGTCACACTTGATTTAACGCCTTCTATTGTCATTGCTAACCCTGCATTAAACAAACTTCCATTGATTATTGTGACGTTTGCATTAAACATTTGATGGCTGCCTTCGTCTGCAATTGTTTGATAACAAAAAGCTCCTGGGGCGTTGTGTCAGGTTGTGCCGCAGCCCAAACAAGTGCCTTCGAGAGGTAACTCGCTGCATCTGTTACCGAAGGAATTTCTTCCACCGCTGGCATACCCAATGCTACATCGCCTTCCTGTAAGCTGATCAGCGGCTGAAGGGTGTTTTGGGTATCGAGCGGCAAGTCCGCGTCGGGTTGATCATCCATGTTTTCTTCAATTTCCGATTTGACGGATGGAGTCATTGAACCAATTTTATAATTTCCCGAGAATTCAATCATCGAAGAGTTATTCAATCTCCTATCACTCAAACGTGTTAAGGGCGGCCTACCTCTACGTCTACCCCTAGTGACCTTAATTCTAGCAGTACCATTAGACATTACCCTCGAGGCAGCATCAGACATAACTCTCAATGAACCATCAGACGTAACCCTTGATATCATTGGTCGCCAGGACGCAACATCCTCGGGCTTGAATGAACGTATGTTATATCGCCTCTTGAAGCGCTCGAGCCAACCAGAACTAGCACGGAACTCCCCGTTGCCTCGTAGCATAGTATGTTGTTCTCTGGCCTGCGTCGTTACTTCACTTGACATAACTTCTCGTCCTCCACTAACTTCCTGTTAAAACAAAGCTGAGATTAGGTTAAAGCTGCAAATTAATAGCAGAGTACTCCTATCCTATTTACCTGCAAAACGCAAAATATATTTTACCCTAAGCAAATTTATGTTTTCCGTCATATCCTGTCATAAAGTAGCTGGCATTGGTTTCACATAAAAGTAGACAAAAGGTTAACTTCCTGTCAAAATGAAGCTGACTTTAGCTTATTGTAAAACAGCTATTATACACTCTTCAGTAAATCGTAAGATATTTGTACTTAGAATAAATAAGTTGTAAGAGATTCTAGCTCGAGTGGAAACAAATCCGTAAGCCTGATTTTAGCTTCCTCTGAACAATTAATGTTATCAATTTAACTCAATAAAAATGTTTGGTAAGAAACAAAAAATACGTAAGAACACAAACAAATTATTAACTAACGAGATAAGATGATCGGCCAGTCATAGAAAGCCTCAGAATCCACGAACTATGCAGCCATCGAGGTACATCTGCTTATTAAAGTCAATCAAAGACCTCTCCAGTTAATATACCTTGATTAATCAATAAAAAAAGCCTATTCCCGTCTCTGTTTTCTTGTAGACCCTAATGAGACCAAAAGAGCAACACCCAGAACAAGAAGGGTTCTCCATTCCACCAACCTTGATCAGCCAATCGAAAACGGCCTCTTCCACATCAGCTTTGGCTCCGGTCTCTAGTTTTCTCCTGGTCTTGGCCAGCAGGTCTCCGTTGGTCTCTACGTAATGGAGGATTTCAGTCTGATTTTTCTTGAGATCTGAGACCGTAGAGGTTCCAATCCCGAATTCGATGGCCAATCGTCTCTGCGATTCGCCATTCTGCAGTCGGCGGATTAGGTCTGCTTTCTGGGCGATTGACAGCACGGTCCGGCGACGTTTGGTCCCTGCAAGACCGAATATATATATATATATATATATATATATATATATATATATATATATATATATATATATATATATATATATATATATATACATATGGTAATTATTACGGATAATGACCGCCCGGTGTTTTTAATTGAAAATGGGTTTAAAAATACCTAGTTGCAAAAAAATATGAAAATGGCTGGTCATATGCTAGCCTAACCTATATCTTAACTCGTCTATATCTGGAAAACAAAGCATTTACACAAGAAAATTAATAGAACTGAAGGTAATCAGCGTACAAAACAGCGCTTAAAAACATCATCATAATTACCCAACCGCTGACGGCCACGTCCCTCATAATTTCCGAACCGTCGACGGCCACGGTACACTGTCGGTACAGTGCATAGCAGGGGCGGATCCAGTAGGGCGGAGGTCCTGGAGGTCCGGACCCCCCCTTTTCATAAAAAAATTCCAATACTTTTTATTTAATGCAGTATTGTACTCAGGCATTTTCGTATAGTAAAAAGTAATTACAGTTGACCACGGAATATCTCCTAATTTCATGTGCACGTGGCTTCAAAATGCCCATGATATTGGTCAGAATAAAAAAAAAAATCTGGGGGGCTTACAGCACCCCCCCTTCCCCCAAACTCAGCTGGGTGGGCTCGCTGTGCTAGCCATGTTCCCCCGCCTACAACTTCTTGGACTCCTCTTTTGATATTCCTGGATCCTCCCCTGCATTGTTTACATCTGCCGCATCACAGCTCATGAAGCTACTGTAAGATGCTATCTTAACTCGCCTATATCTCGAAATATAAGCATTTGCCTAAGAAAATGAATATAAGTGAGAGTAATCAGCATACAAAACTCTATAAACACCTCCATTATTACCGTTCCACTGACAGTATATATATATATATATATATATATATATATATATATATATATATATATATATATATATATATATATATATATATATATATATATATATATATATATATATATATATATATGCTGATAACCACAAGGAAAGAAGGAAACATGAAGTTCCCAAGCGCTTTCGTGTAATTCACATCTTCACGGGTGAGTACAGACAAAACAAGGTATATGAGCTTAGAATATGTTGCAGCATCACATAAAAGGTCATTCATTTTAGAAATATAATCATCTTTGTTTAAAATCACTACTGTGTTGGCTTTATCTGCATTAGTGACATTGTGGACTTGATCTCACCCCTGAAGATGTGAATTACACGAAAGCGCTTGGGAACTTCATGTTTTCTTCTTTCCTTGTGGTTATCAGCATATACCTAGATCACGCGCACCTACAGTGATTTACTTGCATATATATATATATATATATATATATATAAATATATATATATATATATACAGAGGAGGGTGAGATCAAGTCCACAATGGTCAGGTATTAGGTAATGACCCTACTAATCTTCAAAAAGCACAGCAGTAGTCTGCAGTCAGGTCAGAGGGTAAGCTGACCCAACCTTGTCACCTGGTTACAAATCTTCTTAATTACGAAATTATCCAGTTTGTACATACCATTACTCAAATTCATGTTGGCTGATTCGGTATGTTTAATGAAACTAGATTCTATAATGTTCCTACTGTCAATTGAATTACAAGGTAATATTGAGGAGGCATTATCCCAGTCAATGCAATGCTTATTATCCCTTAAATGAACAAACAGAGCATTGGATTCCTGGCCTGTCCTAACACTATATTTATGTTGTTTAAGTCTAGTTGCAAGATCTTTACCTGTCTGGCCTAAGTAAAACTTATTACATTCCTTGCAAGACACCTTATAAATGCAGCCACTTGTATTGTTGGGGGAGTTCTTGATTAACATTTGTTTAACAGTGCATGAGTTTTTAAATGCCACATTGACGTTCCAGGTTTTTAGTTGTAAAGGAATTTGAGAGAAATTTTTGTGAAATGGTAATTCTAAGAGATTCTTATGGTCATGGGTGGGCTTGGGATCGGTTCTATGGAAAGATTTCTTAGTAATGTTAAGGCATTTGTCTATGAAAGATCTAGGGTACTTAAGGCTCAAGCCAATATTATAGATATATTTATATTCCTCATCAATGAATTCCGGGCTGCAAATTCTCAAAGCACGTAAAAACATTGATGAAAATACTGACTGTTTGACTCTATTATGGTGGGCAGAATAATAATGAATGTATGAACACACATTAGTTGGTTTCCTATAAATACTGAACTTAAAGGTGTTACCTATTCTGTGGATCAGACAGCCTAGGAAAGGCAATTTACAGTCATGCTCTAATTCCACAGTGAATTTGATCGAGGGGGCTAAGTTATTAAGTTGTGGCAGGAAAGCTTTTAGATCCTCATTACATGGCCAGAGACATAAGACATCATCAACATATCTAAACCAGACTGCTGAAGGTGGTAAAATATTACTTAATAGTTTCTTTTCAAAGAATTCCATATATAGGTTGCTTAATACAGATGAAAGTGGATTACCCATTGCCATACAAAATTTTTGAGCATAATATTCTCCATTAAATTCAAATTTCCAATCCTTAATACATAGTTTGATGAGTTCGATGAAGTCGTCTTTCGAGACGGGCAATGAAATATTATCCAGGGAGTCTGTGAGGAACTCCAGTAAATCATCAACTGGGACCTTTGTAAAAGTGATGTTACATCAAAACTGACCAGTTTAAAATCATAATTAATCTGTAAGTTATTGAGTTTATCAACCAGATCCATATTATTCTTAATATTAGAGTTAGAAATGTTGTCAACGAGGGGATTTAGTAAAGAAACTAACCATTTAGATAATTTATAAGAGATTGACCCAACTGAGCTAATGGTGGGTCTTGTTGGGTTATTAGGCTTGTGGGTCTTGATTACACCGTACATGTATGGCAGTGGAGGGGACGTTGAAGTAAGATGTTTAATGAGAGTATCTTTGCCTCTCAATAGAGACTTCAGTTTTTTGTAGAACTGGGTGTTAACTGTGTTGAGAGGATTATTTATGAGCTTAGAATATGTTGCAGCATCACATAAAAGGTCATTCATTTTAGAAATATAATCATCTTTGTTTAAAATCACTACTGTGTTGGCTTTATCTGCATTAGTGACATTGTGGACTTAATCTCACCCCTGAAGATGTGAATTACACGAAAGCGCTTGGGAACTTCATGTTTTCTTCTTTCCTTGTGGTTATCAGCATATACCTAGATCACGCGCACCTACAGTGATTTACTTGCATATATATATATATATATATATATATATATATATTCTATGACGTTTCTCTCGCAAACGACCTAACCTAACTGGGAGGCTCCGGCACCCTGGACCCCTCCCCCACTGCCAGGGAATAAACAAGTCGTTTGTGAGGGAAACGTCGTAAAAGAAAAGTGTCTTAGAATTGCCTTAATACGTGGTTTTCAAACTTTTTTTCTATGAAGGCACAGTGAATAATTTGTAATATTTTTAAGGCACATCTACTTTTTTAATGAAAATAATGTTGTAATTCAGTTTTAGATGATGAAACATATATATAGATTGAATCTAAACTTGCAAACTCCTTTGGAAAATATATGTAAATTACATTATTAAAATAAAAATATATGGAAGTTCAGAGCTTACCTTCCCTCAGCCAAGGACAAGACCAGACTGACTTCCGGTCCTAAGTCTCCTACCTTGCTATACAGTACATAGTGCTTCGAAAAATAAATAATACAGATAAACTTGACTTCAACATGCAAGCTGAATACCCTGTCTCAGAATTCTATTCATGTATCACAAATATAGAAAACTAATCATGAGTAATAAATAATATAATGTAATCATTGCTGCAAGATGTCCAGTAATTTATTTTTTCACGAAGACAGTCAAATAACGGTCCAATAAGGTTGCTTACCTTAACAAGAAGGACAGATTAGTCATAATCAATCATCCTAGGTTAACACATAAGACCATAAGAATGGAGGAAAATGCAGCGGGCCTATTGGCCCATACTGGGCAGTCCAGTTTACACCCAAACCATATAGCTCATATATCCATCCAACCTATGTTTGAAGCTATCCAGCGTATTCGAGTTGCCAGCAGTGCGTAACAGGGAGTTAGGCGCGGGTCGGGTCGTGTTGCGTCTCTGTAACAAAGCGTGTTCGGCGTTCGGGCCTTCGTTGTTGAGCGGCAGAAATTGGACAGTGATTACATAAGATAATCGAGATTGTCTTTGTAATGTGAAAGTGTAAATCGATGTAGGATTTTTAATGCTAGACGCGATTGTATTTTTGAAAACGCAATCACCTCCGAGTTAGAGATACAGCCCAGGTCTAAAGGCCTACAACCACAAAATCATTGCCGTATGACAAAGCTTTCATTTTATTTTTTTTACGGAATTGTGGTCACGGCTGTGATAAAGGCCAACCAGAGAGTGAAGTACTGTGCCTTGAATTAAATCAGCTCATAGTGTCATCAGTGACCGCGGAAGAGGTTGTAAGTCACTTAAAGTGAATACAAATTGGAACGGGATGGTAATATCGACAATATTTACCTAGATTTTGCCAAGGCTTTCAACAGTGTACCCCACGAAAGGCTTAAAATCAAACTGGAAGGGTACGGAATTCGGGGAAATGTCCTAGCGTGGATAGAAAACTTTCTACATGACCGCAAGCAGTGTGTGGTGATTAATGGTACGAAATCGTAATCTGTACCTGTCACAAGTGGGGTACCACAGGGCAGTGTATTGGGCCCGCTGTTGTTTGTTTGTTTCATAAATGACATGCCTGACGTTGTACACTCCTCCATACAAATGTTTGCCGATGACGCCAAGTTATTTCGGGAAATTAAGAACCAAGCGGACTGTGAAGAGCTGCAGAAGGATCTCTGTGGGCTCCAGGAATGGTCGAAGAAATGGCTGCTGAGATTCAATGTCACGAAGTGTAAGAGGATGCACCTGGGGCGTACCAACGGTAAGGAGGCGTATCATATGTCCCAATGGGATGAAGAAACTG